CCCTTGGGACACTCGCAATCCTTGCAGCACTTCACGCAGGGGCCGTCCTTACAGCAGCGCTTCAGTCCAGGGGGGCAGCACGGGGGCTTGCACTCTCCCCCGACGCACTTCTTCCCGAGGCCACAGTCGCAGTCCTTGCAGCACTTCACGCACGGACCGTCCTTGCAGCAGCGCTTCAGTCCAGGGGGGCAGCCGCACGAGGGCTGGCACTCGCCCTTGACGCACTTCTTCCCAGGGCCACAGTCGCAATCCTTGCAGCACTTGACGCACGGACCATCCTTACAGCATCGCTTCGTCCCAGGTGCGCAAGAACATGGCGCCTTGGCATCAGCGACATGGAGGGCGCATGCCAGGACCACCAAACTCGCAACGGCCAAGGCCGCAGTAAACCGACCCATCTTTGCGCCCGGCACGGCTTTCGCTTAAGAGGTTATGGTGCGTTGGCGACTTCAAATTTCCAACAGTGCACCCTGCAGCAACAGGACACTCAAGCAACCATCGTACAGAGAACAAGAGAGGCAACGCAGCGATGTGACAAGTATAAGTATCACGGTCGATCAGCTTCAACAATGAGCCCGCGCGTCATGGAATCGCGAGCGAACGACTTGCTCGAACCCACGGCGCAGCTCTCTACGACCTCTGTCAGCTACCACACAAGCTACGAGCATCGCACAGAGATACAAAACCAAAACGATCATATCAAACACAGAAGACAAGGAGTATTCTCACGGAAAACACAGAGTTTCACACTCGGACAAAAGAGCGAGACGGAAACGTTGGTCAGGCGCTCGAGGGTTCAGGAGCTTGAGACGCGCAGAATATTCGGTCGTCATCGCCTTGGCAACAACGTCACACACACACACACACGCACACACACACACACACACACACACACATCGACAGCGATGCAGAATGAAGCGGTCAAAGAGAAGCTGGAGTGGGGTGAGCTCGAACGCGACTCCGCTAAAACAGCTAGATTGAAAGGCGGAAGAGCAGGAAGACATTCGAACGTGAAGAAAGACACGGAGAGTATCAGTAGTTGGAGGAAAATTTTGGAACGGGGAGATTCTCTTTAACGCGACGGACTTTCTGAGAACCGTACGCAATCTGCTGTTCGACCCGATGGAAATGTGGCGTCATGACTTCTGCCTAGTACGCAACAATGCTCAACTGCACACCACGAGACCTCTCTCTCGCACTCAGCAAGTCAATCGCATGATTTTGCCGCTGCTCGATGCTAAACAGAAACTTTCACGAAAGACACGGGAAGATGCGGCAAACAGGCTACCAGATTCAGGTGCAGACCGGGCAGGCTCGTCAGCACTAGCAAGACAAGCACGACGTAGACATACGTTGACAGCGACTCGGATTCGGTCAGGTAAAGAGAGCGGAGGTGGCGCGCGAGTCCGGTAAAGGAGAGAGTGACGAACTGGCGGAGGGAGAAAATGGAAAACGAACATGAGAAAGAGAAAGGCGACTGAGTGCCGGGTAGATGGGAATTCGACAACGGACTCACGGAAGCTTCACACGACGGAAGCTACAGTGCACGCGAAGGAAGGTACATCGCACACGAAGGAACCTATATTGTACACGAGGGAAGCTAGAATGCACACAACGGAAGCAGTTAATTTCCAACAATACAGAAGATTCCCTGCAACGATAAGCAGTTCACCAGAGGACTTCGAGAATCTCTTCACCATTGCTCTCGCCGCCGAACAACCTCCTTTCATTGTACGTACAGCTAGTTCAACCTTCCGAGCCCAAACAGTCCCTCCTTTCGACCATCAGTCCTGAAACCTCTGCAAACTGCTCCACAGACACGCCGCACCAATTATACAAACAACGGCGAACGAACCACAGAGACAAAAAGTAAAATCAAACAGCCGAGAGCGAAAGGGGAGGTGGGGGGCGACACAGAGACAGACAGACAAACCGACCCCCCTTCGCCACTTGAAGCAGAATAGAGTGCGACTTCTCCTTGCTAACCTAGGCCAAGATTACCTTAACTGAAGGAGTGCCTTAATTTACTCCATGCCACGGAAAGGCGAGGCAGACAAGGAACAAGAAAACCGGACGCGGGAGAATGCCGGGAAGACATGGGAGAACATAAGAAAGAAGGTAGACGTGGCTACGAAAGTGCGGACTCAGACAGGAAATAGGAAAAGGACGTAGCGAAAGGAATAGGAACGGAAAACGAGTGCTCTATTGCTGAAGCGAGTACACATAGCCACTGCTCACCACGTACCTTGCTCCGAAAGGACACAATCGTAATCGCTCCCCCGTACGGTTGCGAGCGCACGCTTGATCTGGGAAACGTCTGCGATCTCCTTTTATTCCTTCATCACATGCGCCATCTTCTTCGCTACCGCCCGCCTCCACAAGACCCGCAACGCGGAACTGCCTGCCGCCAAGTCCTATACTCCCAGTTGCAGGTGCTGACGTGCAGTGCTCTCCTGTCTTGCTTTTCTTCTTTCTTTCTTTCTTTCTTTCTTTTTTTCTTTTCTTTTCTTTTTTCCCTTTCTTTTTTCTGTATACACATCTTACGAATGGGCGCTTCATTGATCAGAGCAGGGGTAAAAGCACCTGCCCGATGAAGGGTCCGAACCTTTCCGCGATGGCTCCAGAGTCCAGACTACCCGAGAGGAACGTCGCGTGCTGGTAACTGGGGCCAGAGCGTATGCCCCTTTCACACACCATTTCAGTATAAGGGCATACCCAGACTAGGACTTTCTCTGCTTATTTCTGGACCGGATTGCTGCTAGATTCATCCAGGTCGGGCTGCAATTGCTACCAGATACATTTAGCAAATTACCTGTGTGAGTGAGTATGCCCTAGGAGACATGTTGATTGCCCCCCTCCCGCCTTCGATGCACTCGTTTTCATTTCGTTGTCTGTGCCGTGCGGCGAGGCCAGTACTGCACTGCACACTGCACGTCTACTGGCGCCTCACTGCCCCCGTTGTGTCCTTGCCTTCCCGCGCGATTCCCTGCCTGGTTGTGTCCGTGCCTTCCCGCGCGTAGTATCCACTGGCACTTTCGCTGGGATTTACGATCCAGGAATATTGATTGAATGGGCCTCGCTGCACTACTCTCGACATGCACAAAAGACAAAAATATTGGCGGTGTATCTTTCCATATGCTAGCGCAAGATTGACTCTCGTTTTGCACATTTCAAGAGTAGTGCAGCGAGGCCCAATATCTAGGATTGTTGCCCCGCCATGAGCAACAAAAGGAAACCAACCTCTGCCGCGCTCCGCTGCTCGCCAAGTGGCATCGCCACACCACTCTTGAAACGAGCAAAAGTGGGTGGGTGGGTCGACAACTGCGAAAAGGTGCGAAAAGGATCTCCCGCCCTTTTCTTTTCTTTTTCGTTTCTTCCTTTTTCTTTTTTTTTTCTTTTTTTCTTTCTGTTTTATCATCATTGAGCTGACCGGCCCTAGGCAATTCAGAAATATTTGGTTTCATCATGTTCCATCATCCGGGTTCGAACTCGGTCTGTATTTCAACAGTTCAATGGTGTACCCCCTGAGCTATGTCATGGAACATATCTTTCTTTCATTACCTACGGACCACTACTCCTAAGGGTATACAGGGGGCCCCTGCAAGCACAGCTTTCTACGTCTCTTCTGTGAAGGGAGGCTACCTCGCTATGTGGTGGAGAGAGGTAACGGCATGTTTGCCCCTTTGCCCTACCGTTTAGGGTGCAGGGGTGGAGAGAGGTAAGGGCAATTTTACCCCTTTGCCCTACCGTTTAGGGTGCAGGGTTGGGGCCACTGGTGGGGCCCGAGCTAACACAAGAACCCAGCTCCTTTTTTTTTAACAACCAGTACCTTGCGCAACTATAAAACAAAGTAGCTTTCTTTGGGACATCCATTAAAATTGGAACGATACAGAGAAGATTAGCATGGCCCCTGCGCAAGGATGAAACCCATAAATCGAGAAATGGTCCAAATTAACAAAAAAAAAGAAGACAAAAAAAGTTGTGGCCATTAACTCGCCGCTACTTTAGGGGGTAGGGAAGTTGGACTGGTAGGAGCTGTTTTCTTTAGAAATTAAAATAATTCCTGAGGGCATACTCAGGGCATACTCGTACTGGGGCCTATAATCCGAAATTCCCCCCCAAAAGAGGTAGAGGACCGGTCACACAGAGTTGCCAACGTCCTAAATGTAAAACGAGATACCACTTCAAAAAACAACAATGTATGAATGTTGCACAGCTGTTCCTGAGGGCATACTCAGGGCATACTCGTACTGGGGCCTATAATCCCAAATTCCCCCCAAAAAAGGTAGAGGACCAGTCACATAGATTTGCCAACGTCCTAAATGTACGTGTGCCGGGGCAACCGTAGTTTTCGCCTGCGCTAGCAGGACTTAACCGAGCTAGGGTAACTTGGCAAACCCTAATTCGCACCGAGCACCATGGAACAGGGAAGCACTCAGCTGTTTTTCCCGCAATTCCACATTCCCTCGTGGGGTTGGATATGGTGCGCTGCCTAACAGGGCTAAGTCCCCCAGAGATATCACAGTATTTTATAGGACAAGGTGATTTTTTCACCCTGTCCTTAACTCTTGCTCCATCTCGATGCTCCTACGAGTATCTTCCGCCAGTGGCATTCGTGATATGATTTCTATCCTCGGAAATCCACTTCTTCCAAAATCCGCTCTCGCCTACTCCATCTGGCCTCCATTCCAACTTTATATCCTAACTTAGTACTCTACTCTTCATGTTTCTTCACCGGTGTCCTTTCTAATAGTTATAATCTCTCCTCTTACTACTTTGGACTCACTTTCGCGAGCAACCTGTTCCCGGCGCTGTGACGAACTATTTTCTGCAGCCGCGCGATTTTCTGCCCAAGACTACTTCGGGGGTTGAATCGGGATGGGCTGTGGAATTGCATGGGTGTCCTTGCTTTGTTTGTTTCTCCTTTGGAATTGAGGCGTGGCCAATCTCGCGGCAGTTGGTAGCTGATCGCGCCTGAGCGAGCTCGAAAGATAACTGTTGACATAACTTCTTTCTTGTTCTGCTGTGGGAAATGGGAATTTTGGCACGATCTCCACGCTGGAAAATCTTTTTGAATTTTCAACTGATGTCGAGCCCCCGCGGGCTCTCAGAACTTGCTTCGTCCGGAATTTCTTTTTGCAATTAGGATTTAGCTTACGAATATGGGCGCACCTCAATTTCTACTGCACGACGCTCCGCGCTTGCGCACGCCTTGCCGCATCAGGATCTGCGCTCTGATTTTTCCGCACCTCAATCCTTGCGTGTAACTGTAATTTTTGTTTTGGCAGGCACAATTGCAACTGTAATCCTCTCCTTCTTGATATCTTTTGTGGCGCCCCTGTGCTCACGTACCTCTTCCTCTGTCCTAGTGGCCTGAACGCCAGCATGACCAGATCGATGTGTGGAGTGAGGCTATGTCCCCCACGCCTTGGACTGGCCATGCAGTCGTAGGCACTTCCTTTCTTCCTCTTCCTCCTACTTGGACACAACCTCGGATATCGTGCGCACGCATGCTATAAATGTGCAAGTGCGATTAACTCGCTCTGGAAGAATTTTGGAAGTTAGCGAGGTCGAGGGGATCGGCTAACGAGCAATCGTTGGCAGGTAAGTAGAGGGTTGGGTGATCCGACGAGCTGATACTGGGCATGCGGGGTTGACGTGGGGCCGCGACGGACTGTGGCGCACGGGCAAACTTGGCTTGGATGCTCGGAACAAGCGGGGTGACAACTCTGTGTGGGTGCGAGGCGACGGACTGCCCTCATCGAGATGTTGTGAAGAGAGAGAGAGAGAGAGAGAGAGAGAGAGAGAGAGAGAGACAGAGAGAGAGAGAGAGAGAGAGAGAGAGAGAGAGAGAGAGAGAGAGAGAGGTCTCTTATACACATCTAGATGTGTATAAGAGACAGCAATTGGACCTTCCGACCCCATCCAGTCTCTCCTGTTGGACCTTAGGACCATCAGTCCTGAAACCTCTGCAAACTGCTCCACAGACACGCCGCACCAATTATACAAACAACGGCGAACGAACCACAGAGACAAAAAGTAAAATCAAACAGCCGAGANAGAGAGAGAGAGAGAGAGAGAGAGAGAGAGAGAGAGAGAGAGAGAGAGAGAGAGAGAGAAAAGACGTGTGTAGAGAGATTTGTTTTCCATTCTTCTAAGTAATTTTGACTTTTTTTCTATCCTTCTGAGCAATTTTAGTATTCGGCGCAAGTCCCCCTTTTCGTTTCCAGATTGGCATCACGGATTTTTCATTCGTTTTTTTCAGAGATCGATGTATGGTTGTATCCCTCCACTCCTCTTCTCTTAATTTTTGAATTGATAAATCTGATTGGTTGGTCACTTACAGTCGAATCTTGTGCGTCCCCTTGGCTGTTGGCAGAAAAACTGTTCCATAAGGATCCTCGATTCCTTTTGTTGATGTGTATGTGTGCGCGTGGAGATGAACGCATGAATGTTAGGTGTGATCCTGTCTGTGTATAAACGAGATATGCATGCTAGATGATTAAGATGTTTGTCTCATCATAGGACGATGCAGCCCACGAACAAGTAACTTCCCCCCATCCGAACGAAGGATAGGTCTTGTGCACACACGTGTAGGCTCGACCACGCATGATCGCTCCCTACACACGTGTTTGCGAAACATGAACTCGATCGATTTCCCGAATGTCTAAATGTCCACCCGCCCTATGATATATGAATTTCGAAATCTCTTTTCGTGTCACCGACCGGGAGTGTTTGAGAGATCGGGAATTCCGAGGATATTGGGAATGCTCCTACTCGTCAGCCCGATCGAGGACGGACCCGCCGAACTTCCCTTACTTAACCAGAACTGAACGTATTTGAGAGTAGGATCTCGACCGGGCTTTGGGATGTATGCCTGCATACACGTGTCACATCGTCGCGGAACCGGGGATCATTATTTTAGGAACCGAGTTTCCTCCCTAATACTGCATTCTGCCCTATCACTCCTTCACCATCGTCCCCAAACCCGCAATTGCCCCCTACTGGCCTCATCCCTCGTGCTCGGAGTGCATGCAAGATCACAAGTATCGAGCCTCCAGCATCATCCGGCGAACTCGATCGGAGGAGGAGCGACGGGCACACAGCCTTCGGCTGAGCCTTCGATTGAGACCAGTCGCGCCTGACTCCGAGGCCTATGACGTTTGGCGCCGAGAGGTGATCAACCAGCGAGATAGCCATAATGTCTCGACGGTCCACCAGATACCAGTCTGGCCCAAACGACGAAACCAATGGAGGCCGTAGCCCCGCTTCCCTAAGCATAAGGTGGGGCTCCGAGCCGCACCTATCCTCCTGCATTCGCATTTCTGAAACTTGTCACAGGAGATCTAAGTTCTGACCTGAAACTCCACCCCCACTTTCCAAAAATCCTTGGCACA